GAAACTCTCAACAATGTCTTCCCTCAACTTCTTTCCTGTTGGTCCTTAACACGTTTTTACAATAGCATACTGCATGTGGTGTTTTGAGATTATCACTTAACACTAGAACCGCCAACAGGTACATTTTACCCGCAGCTGTTTTTTGATTGTATGTAGGCCTAACTTTTTTTCAATAACATATTAAAGTCTCTCAGTCCATGACTTTTCCTGAAAGTGTGTTATGTAGCACCCGCTGTTGTTAACAATTGTCAATATGAAGTCAGATTGAAAAAAATCGCCAAAAAAAATGCCATGTATACCTATATCCGCCAGCGGGTAATATTTACCTCATAGAAAATGCAGCGTAAACATGATGTGTTGCTATAGTAACGCCTTTTGTCTACTGCGGTTCCTTATAGAGATAGATTGATAGATGGATAGAGAGAGAGATAGACAGATAGTTATAGATAATGTAACATCTTGGAGAATACAAGATCTTGGATGACTGAGCTCACGTTGAGGACGTAATGCATGTGTGCAGGTTACGTGCCAGTTGAATAAAGATGGACACTCGGAATGAGAGAAGTAGTCCGCGTCGTCTGTTTATGTAGACAATTATATGTCCATAGAACAGAACATTACAGATAGATTGATAGATAGTTATAGATAGAGAGATTTGTACCTAAACAAAACACAAGTATAACACCAAGCGTTTAAATCAGCACTCTTAGCGATATTTTATACTTCATGCTATCTGCACAAACTATATCACATGGAAAGCTGAGAGTCCACAGATTCTATTGGTATACGTTTCATCCCTGTGCGATCAAAACTCACTGTTCTGTATGATAAATAAAAGAACATTGTACCTTGAAAATCAATAGTGGGTACATTTTACCCGTTGGCGGTTTTACGTATACAGCGACCTCTGGCGTGACTGTATGTAAGCCAAATCATCCATTTATCAACATGTTGCACTGTACATATCTGTCTGTATGCTACCATGCCATCTGCTGTGGGTGTGGCCACAGGCTAGATGTGTTGGCACTATGAATTGCAAAGGTCATATCAAAACAAGGAAGCAGGAGGACAACAAATAGTTGTGAGGATAAACCTCTTATTATGCATCCATGGGATAAACATGCTCAAAACATTCCATTGATCTGTTAAAGAAAAGCATGCATTTATGTGGGCTTTTGTGTTTTACAGATTTTGTGCCGGCTGCTAATCTCAACCTCAGGCTACCAGGCTTTAACTGCAACTTTTATTCATGTTATTACTTATTGCTGTATACCCTTGTTGTTAGCCTTTTTCTTAAGGCAGACCGCACCATTTCACACCAATATTAAGGATTTGACAAATGAATGGTGGTCAAGCATAAAGCACATCTACTTTTCTTCCTTCTATGAAAATACTATCTTAAAGCAAACAAAGTGCATGATCTATTTCCAGCTTGTAAGCAAAACTGTAAAAACCTTTGTGGAAGCCTTTTTTAAACTACGGCCTTTGGTTTAAGACAACAAACCTGAAGCCAAAACTCCCACCTGTGAGTGTTAGAGGTCGTAAGTGCAGGATTAAAATGAACGGCACAGGGATCAACTGCATTTCCCACTGCCATATAATAAGTCTGCTGTCATCAGATAAGAGACATAAAACTGCCCAAGCACATCGTGGACTGAAGCCATGGCATCATATAAAACATCTGGAAAGTCTCATTGTAGAGGTGTATTGTCAGGGAACTGAAAACCTTGTATCTACTTGCTGAATTGCTTGTTTTGTGAAGGAAAATACTGGAGAGGCGCAGACATGACAGTATGCTTTTCATCAGATTTGGATCAAATCATACTTGCAAATGATTCTTTGTGCTTGTTTTAGACTCACCAGAGTGCCAGATGGGTTGGGTTTCCTGCATCACCACAGTTGCGATAAGTGGTCGGTAACACAAAAAGACAGGAAGTTGCCAGGATGATATCCTCAACAGATATACTGTATATTAACATTGTGCTAAACAGGGGCATTGACTCTTGGTGGATAAAACACTGACTTCCTGAATAAATTAATATTTTAACTATGTAATAGTCCTTGTCTTATATTTTAGGATAACATTATAAATCAAAACATAGTGAAAAACTTTCCTAAAATACTTAAACTGCCATCAAGCCATATCAAATGTGACGTATGTTCATGCAAAGGTCTTGGGTATTAGACCCTAGGATTCTGGGTGACTACTATTTTTCACTCGCACATTGTGCATAAACATTGGTGATCATGGGACAGGTTGGTCTTGGTCCTTCAAGGAGAATGCCCCCCCCCCCCCATTCTGGTGCCTGGTGCTGTTAGACAATCAGGGTTTGATACTGATTAACTTTTGAATTGCTGACCCTACTGACAGAAAAAGCAAAGTGACAGTAGTTTCTTTCAAATCAGCAACTGCAAAGGCAGGGAGGGATGGTGGAGGATAGAAACCAAGAAGATTTCCTAGCTCAAGGCCGGTTTATTAGAAATGCATCAGCATCCCCTGCCAGCAGCACCACCCTATGGCCAGATGATAAACTGCATTCAATTACTTTTCTTAAGTCACGTGATTTACAAGAAATCCTCGAGCCTCCAGTTTCTAGCAGGCCACTCTGTTGCCTAGATTCTTCAGCTATTCGCTGACTTAACTGTCCTATGGCACACACAATCAATGACTTATTCAGTTCCCTTTAATGCATCAACCCCATAGAAAACATAATGCAAAGGAACAATAATTTCCAACTTGCTTTTGATAGCTATAACTCAACAATGAATTGGGGGTTATCTACTTGCCTTACTGTGATACAGTACACATATTGTCTGGTAACTGATGATAACAGAGGCATTACACATCAAAACATATTCCAAGGAACAAGACAAATGCATACCTAAGGCTCAAGCATCCGTATGCTGTAACTCAAATCGCTTCACACCTTCTATTTTACATTTGGCGGGCTTTTTATGTGGTAACGTTTTTTATAGGTTAAGTCAATCTTCGTTTATGATATATGGTGGTGATACTTGTTTAGAACAAAGGTTCCTGCAATCCTGTAAAAGGCCGGTAGGGTTCAAAGTAGTTCAAAAGTCACTGCCCTAGTTTAGAAGATGACTTTCCTGTCTGTTAACCATGACTCTTATTCAGCTCTGCAGGGTAATTGTGATAACAAAAAAAAAAAAATATTGTAATAGTAAACTATAAAGGTAAACTCTTCTACAGATATGCAAATTCCAAAGATATATGTGATCAGGTCAGCAGGAAGGTAAAGTTTCAAGGTAAGTACATAAACAAGTCAGGCACCCTATCAGTTATCAACAGTTACACCTGATAGCTTACTTCCCTTTCCACATGCCATCAACAGAGGGTAGAGAAGTTAAGTTTATGGTGTTCATATTAAAGGCCTTGGCACCATCTAGTGGTTGTTCATGGTACAGTGTTTATCTAAAGCTGTACAACAACAATGGTATCTGAACACTTATTAAATCTGATAGATTTAGTTGATTAACCCCGAGTAGAAAATGACATACGCCTACATTATAATAGAAAACGTGACTTAAATGTTAACAGGTATATTAGTGTGCTAAAGTATCAAAAGTAGCTTCAAGCTTAGTCACCCCTAGAGTGTTAAGTTATTGAGGTGTTAAAGTAAACTGAGGGGGAAGACTCAAGTTTCAAGACTCAAAGGAAACTTAATTAACCAAAAAGTACTCATAATGCCAAATAGCCCATTACAGACAAAATAATGGTATTCAATTATGATTATTGATGCATTAATGTTTAGATCACTTTAATGTTGCAACTGGTAAAAATGGAACTATTATTTTGAGACGTAAAAAGTAGATCAGTCTTATTCCAACCTATATAAAATTGGATTATCATTTATTTGCTGTTTCCTTTTTTGTCCTACATGCATATTTGCAAAGTAACAAATTAACAAAGTGTCAAAAGTAGTTTTGAAATAAATCCAGTATTACAAAAAAACCCTGCAAGTATAATTGTGTGTGGTTCACACAACAAAAACACTGTGAATGTTTAATGAGATCATTTATTTTGCATTGGTGGTGAAAGAATAAGTCATTATCACTAATGCAAACCACTGGTTCAATCGTAAACAATGTCTGGTGAGTTATTCATTTTCTCTGAAATGTATTGGAGTAGAGCCATATAGTTGCACAAACTGTACATATAAAAGTATGATTATCTTAAATGTACTTCCCACCACCGTTTTTGTTAAAATGGCTGCGTGCAAAGTGCAAATATCAGCAACCAGATAAAGATAGATGAGAAAATGTTAAATGCTCATTCAAAACAATACAAAAACCAATAAAAGGCTTGGCTAAAAATATAAATAATAAACAAGTACGTTGGATGTTGTCCATGATTCAGCATCTAGCGACATCTAGCGTCTAATGATGAAGCAGCGTTTTAGTCCACTTTGACTAAATTTGCCGATGGCATTAATAATGAAGAATATTTGTCTGTCTTTAGATGGGTATGATAAAACAACGATTTCACGTGTTAACATTTCGATCGTAATAAATCATAAAATGTATGATTTATATCATATGTATATCATATGTATATTCAAATATGCCACTGTTATCTTGTAAAATAACTTATATGCGCGATCAAAACGAAAATGTGTAAGAGTGAGTCATAAAGTCGCAGTTAAGAGAAAGATGTGAAGAGAAAAAAAATAGAAATAAAACAGACGATGATACAGCTGATGCTGCAAATCATTGTCATATAATCTGGTTTTCGTTCCTCGCTTTCACTTTCTCATTTACACATGATTTTGTTGAAAAGAGAAGAACATAGAAAAACTCAATGTATAGTAAACAGTAAACACTATTGTTTATCAATGCAGTGTTGCTATGCCTATGCCTTTTACATCACATTGAAGTAGGCTATTTGCTTTTTGTAAACATCATAACACATGAAATATTTCCTTATATGGCAACAAGGCGAAGTTTCACACTTTAGATTAAATAAAGAACAGAAAACTCACCATTAGTTAAGCAGCTTTGAAGGAAGATCCATCTAGAAATGAGGTACACGTTTGGATAACTGGAACAAAGAAGCAGCGGTTGGTGCTGCACTGCTTTCATTTTTACTTTAGTCAAGCCTTCAGGCGAAATGGTTAACGTTATTCAGAGCAGCTGAGCCAGGCTGAGGTCCGGTTACCAACATCCCCTTCACTCCACAGTAGACGGTGCCACTAAACATTTTACAAACAAAAATGCACGGATTGTCTTATATTCAATTGTAAAAAATAATGCACAGCGCTTTTTAAATGTCTTCGCGTCCTGTTTGCACTGAACTGAAAGTGAAATGACTTGTGTAACTTCCGGAAACAGATGACACGTCTTTATGGTGTTTCCCCATCTATTTAAAGCAGTGTTGATAGCATATCATAAAAAGGATAGTGCGAGATACACCAAAAGGTTTTTATTTTATTTATTTTAAATATAGAATGAAAACATTTAAAAGTGAAAGCATGGTGCCGCCAGTTTACTGGTAAACGGCTGCTATATTAGCTTAAGCGTTATAAAACAGCCTCTGGTGATGCACTGATAAAAGTGTTATTGTGCTTTCCAGCAATTTGTGTATGTTATTTCTTACACCATGTTACATTGAAATGTTATTGAGAAAACTGGAAAATTGTAGGAATAAATACCAGTAGTCACAAAATAGGCTCTCCGGTGTTAAACATGATGTGTGTCCACTGGATTTTTGCTGATAAACAATTAGGAGATGTCATATAATTAAAGACAAATGCATTATATTTGAATTAGCATCAATCTACCTGAATGAATGAGATGACTACACATGTTTCATGACTGCGACATCTGTGCTAAAACATGCATTATCTTTATGTCTCATTGAATCTTGTTATGATGGATTCACATGCAGTGATCTGATACTTTACCATTTATAAAGGCTATTTGAAGAAAATGCTTTCACAAACACAACGAAGCTCCTCAATCTTAATTATAATACATATAAACATGGGCGTCGCAGCCATTATATTTTTAAATGATTATTTTAGACCCCCCCCCCCCCCCTACTTTTACTATGCGGAAAGTCCGTGCATCGGTCTATCCCAGTGTTTCTCAAACTTTTTCATACCAAGGCCCACTTAACCAATACAAAAACACTCGAGGACCACCTAACTCCACAAATATCCAAAACACATCGTTTTTTACAAATCGCCTGAAAATGGTACCAACAAGTGGCAACATGTGGGATGAAGGTGTTTATCTGGGCTATATCATGCAATCGAAAGTGAAACTTAAGCTTGCTCCATTGCGGAGATATTCCCGCGAGAGTGCGAAAAACTTAAATTACTTAATTAATTTCAAATGTGAAATGTTACCAATATACTCACGGACCACTAGGGGGCGCTCACGGACCACCAGTGGTCCGCGGACCACACTTTGAGAAGCACTGGTCTATCCACTCGCCGCTCTCTGTAGAGCGCTGTGTCAGTGCTTCATTATCAAATCCATTCCACTTGCTTATTGTGAGAATCTCCAAATCAATGAAATTCCGTACCATGTTTTCACTGCTACTTTGTACCAAGGCAGATTCTCAGAGCCGTACACATGCTGCGTTTTTTGTGTAGCTGTGTCTTTAGTTGTACAATTATGCGCGCCACAGTTTCCCCGCTGCAATCTGCTCCGGCGCTAACAGTTCACAAGCGTGCTCCACTAGCACCGGCTATAAGGTGCTGTTATTAAAGGGGTGGAGGGAGAGTCCTCTCCTGTCAGACTGAGAGGCTGATAACTACAGCTCAGGGAGGTAAAGCACTCTCTGAGTGTTTAGATAGTTCACTTTAGTCTAAGTAGCGTGTCTCAAACGGTTTGGTAATCATTTATGTAGGCTAAATAAGTATTTCCAAGGCACACCTTTATATGATCATTATAGTTATAAAAAATAAGAGAATAACAGGTATTAAATAATTCCAACTCATACTATAGGACAGTAACACAAAAATACAGTTTAAAAGGGGAGTGATTTGTAAAATCTGCATAAAGAAAAAGTAAATCTGTTTACAGTTCTGTTTCATATGGGTGTTGAGAGATGTATCCATAGATTTAGTCCCTAATTTTGCTCTCAAAGTGCAGCAGATTGATGTTTTTAAGTTGAACATTTAAAAAAAAAAAAATCTTCCCGGGGAGCATGCCCCCGGACCCCCCTAGAGGAGGTGAGGTCCACCACCTGCCCACACCCCCTGTCAAATTGTCCCACCCACATTGAGGATGCTACGCTCATGCATATAAACATGCAGTCTTACATTTCCTGTGTCAAAAATGTTCAATTTATAAAAATGGATTGACATCATGCTTCACAATAAGTTAGGTGGACATTTCAGACAATAATACATCAAACAGAATTACACACAATAAATTATAAAAGTAACTTTATTTAAAACAACATCTTATTAAGCAATCATGTGAGTATAAAGAAAAATACAAATCACAACTATAACCTGGATTCTTTATTCTGATAATCAGTCGCGCTCTCTCCATTTTCATCTTCCTTTGCTTTCTTCCGTCTTCCCCTGTTTAAACATTAACAGAAGATTTAGCAACAGTTTAACAGCAGTGCTATTAAAGGTCATGTTGGACTTTACATTTCTCCTGACACTACAAACAGTCTTGTGCTGCATGTGAAAGAGATCAAAGCTTTCAAGCGTGCAACATGCATCATATACTGTAACATAAACATATAAATAACAGCAATATAGTAACCAATTTCGACGTCTATTTGCTCTTCATTGAAGATAAAAGCAATCAAAAAAATATACTTGAACGTGTCATTGCCTCCCTCAGCTCCAATTACCTCTTCGAGCCATTTCAATCCGGTTGCCGATCAAAACACAGCACAGAAACAGCTCTTCTGAAAATCACAAACGACCTCCTACTCTCCTCCGACTCCGGCAACCTGAACATCCTCATCCTCCTCGACCTCACCGCAGCATTAGACACCATCAACCACACCATCCTGCTGTCCCTCCTCGAATCATCACTCAACATCACTGACACTGCACTCCCCTGGCTGAAATCCTACCTCACCGACAGACATCAGTTTATCAACATCAACAACTGCACCTCCTCCACTGCTCCACTGTCTATCCCGCCCTCACATCCGCAACCTCGGAGTCATCTTCGAGTGTCAGCTCAAATTCAATCACCACATCAATCACTTCACCAGGACCGCCTTTTTCCACATCAAAAATATTACCCGTCTCCGCCCATCACTCTCCTCCTCTGCTGCTGAAACCCTGATTCATGCATTCATCTCACTTCACGACTCGACTACTGCAATAGCATCCTCTACGGCATACCATCCAACCTCCTTAATAAACTCAAACATATCCAGAACAATGCTGCCCACCTCCTCACCCACACCCGCTCCCGAGACCACATCACTCCCGTCCTCCAGAACCTCCACTGGCTCCCCGTCCGTCAAAGAATCAACTTCAAAGTCCTCCTCATTACTCACAAAGCACTCAACAACCAGGCTCCCCCCTACCTCACAGACCTGCTGCAGCACCACGCCCCCTCCCGCTGCCTCCGTTCATCAGAAGCCAACTTCCTATCCATCCCCACCCACATCAATCACCGGACCTGGGGGGACAGAGCTGCCCCCTCCCTCTGGAACTCACTCCCACAAACCATCAGAGACTGCACTGACCTCACCACCTTCAAAACAATTACAAAAACTCACCTCTTCAATCTGGCTTTTAATGTGTGATTGTTTTTGTATTGCTTGATTTAAATTTGACTTTAACTATATATATATATTTATTTGTTGTTCTTTTCTTTTCACTATATCTGTAAAGCGTCTTTGAGCACCTGTAAAAGCGCTAACAAAATAAATCTATTATTATTATTATTAATCAGAGAGAGTGGTAAAGAGTTTCCCCTTAACTATGATGATACAGAATCTTAATGTGATCAAGAGGACTTGGAACTACATCTGTAGTAGAGACGTGTATAAAGAAACACTGTGACGAGTAGACATGCAGTATGTGAGTAGTGCAACTTGCTGTAGTGTAAGCTCACCCTCATATCAGCTGCATTTGTGCCATGGTTTCTGGTAAAGGCTTTCCAAAAGTTTCTGGCAGCAGGAAACACAAGAGGGCCCCACAAAGGGCAAACCCACCCATCAATATGTATGGTAATGACTTGTTGTATTGTCCTTTAAAAAAGCAGAAAATACCACAATAAAGGCAAGGAATGACTCATTAAACAAATAGAATAATTGTACAACTGTGTGTATTGTAATTAAGAGGAAAAAAAGAAAAACGGTTCTATGCTTTCTGAACAATTATTTTTGAGAGAATAAAAAGAAAGAAACTTGTTTCAGCACATTTTCAGCAAACTAAAGCTTGAAGTAAAGACAAGAGACCAAGGGCGTTCTTAATGCAGTAGGGCTTCAATTAAAGATGTCGATTTTTAAACCTTTTTTTATTGAAATGTTAAAAAAGTGAACAATAGTGATTCACAAAGGTTGATTAGAAAGAAATGCCCTCACACTTGCTAAATGCTCAAAATATAAAACGTATTACTTACCCAGGTAAATGATAAAAGGGGAGATGATGCTTCCAATGCGAGCAGTCATGGAACAGCAGCCCATCGCTGTGTTTCTGATGACGGTGGGGAAGAGCTCCGATGAGAACGTGTACACCACACAAAATGCAGATGTCATGCCAAATCTGCCCAAAATCTCCAACAACACAGGCACAATCTCTGAATCTATAAGGCAATAAGAAGAAGAGGCATATGAAATATACGATACATCCAACACATCTAAAGCCCATTCAATTAGCCTTGTTTTTCCTTCTGACTTGTGAAAATTATATATTTTAATTGTTTTACTATTGTCCAATACTTTTATCACCAGCAAAACTAATGCAATTCCTAACAGTCTAAGCTGTACAATTTGGATCTATTTGGATCCTAAGAGTGTACGCTGCTTGTGATTCGTCCTTGGAATGTCGCCTCACAAATCCAATTTATAACACTTTAAATGCAAGGGTTGATCATTATTTGATCTCAATTGGCAACAATGACTTAACAGACGTTTATATAAATACACATTGTAATAGAAGATTGTATTTTATATATGTTTAAAATCACAACTGTTGTCAACCAGAACTATGTACATGTTGTTGTTGTTCATGTTATGCTGCAAAGATTTAGCATTCCGTCCATTAAGTGTGACAGAACAGTTTTATTCATCTATAGAAAGCAAAGTATTACCTGTTGGGATGATGTGAGCACAGAGGATCATCACGCCTCCGAGGAAGAGTGT